TAAGAAAATTATATTATTAATTGTAATATTTGCGTATTTAAGAAACTTATACTAATGTTTCAATAAAATAAAAACATTTTTAAGATGTTGAACGCCTAGCGAGAATCGGTGGAGCTTACCATAGGGCTGAAATTTGAGACTTGTAGTGTACACAATTCGATAAGCTGAGAGAGCGATACGATTCAATGTATTTTTTAGATTTTTCGTTTTTCAGATCTTTATTTAGTCGGGAGTATTTAGAAAGATAAGTTTGTGGTCCAAAGAATAAAGACAAGATATGTTATAAATAATAAGGGTCTCGAAGTGTGGCAGGCTATAGAGTTGAAAAAACATTTCTAGACAATATCTTTATTAGATCTCTCATTGCATTTTACCAGAACCTTCGTTCAGTCCAGCAGTATTTTCCATATGTTTTTCATAACGTCTTTATTTCGTCTATCCTAAAATGTTTGTTTATTTAAGTAAAAACTAAACGTGTGTGTTTTTAACAACTTGCATCACTTTAATAATCGATTGTTATGTAATTTCTTTTATTACCCAATTTTGATTTGAACAAAACATTTGTATTTTTAAGATATTAAACAGTAACTAGTTACAAATAAAAAGTTTACATTAAATTAATCACAAATTACGTGAAATTACGTGGCTTACACCACTTTCAAAATAAATGATTAATATGATTTTGGTTTCTATATCGGTGACAATAATAAAATTAGGACAATTTGTAACATTTCGAGCCTTTTGAAAACTAAATCTGCTAGTAATACAGAAAAAAAAAGTTCGAAATTGAGCTTCAATGTGGGAAAAGAAAACCAATTGGTTTGCTTTTTGTGATGTTTGTTATATGTTTTCTTTTTCTTTTACTTTCTCCTTTACTCCTTTTGCTATTTTCTCTTCTTTCATCAATCCCTTCTACTTTTTCCTCTTCTTTTTCGTTAAATTGACACGAAAAGCAGTTATCTCTCCTCATCAAGCAGCTCTTCTTCTCTTGATCAAAGTATGGTTTCTCGATAGTCTAAGATTGTCCCTCAATTCCTTGTAGATTTCCTTCCAACCAATAATCTTTCTCTCTCTCTCTCTCTCTCTTGCTTCTACAACGATTCGTTTCTATACGTTTATCTTCTGCCAATTTCCTATTCATTCACTCGAATTAATGAAAATCACAGGCTTATCAAACATGTAAACATATATTATTTTATTTTTATTTTTCCTGTTATTTTTTTTTCTTCAAAACAATTTTTGACAATGACAGGATCTTTTAATATATATATATATATATATATATTTATAATATAATTAATTTATAATATAAATTATAAATTATAATTTAATTTATTTTAATTTATTTAATTTAATTAATATTATAACAATATAATATAAATTTATATAATATATTAATATTATATATTTTTAAATATATTTTATTTATAATTAAATATATATTATTATTATCTAAACGAAATGTTATATATATATATAAATACATATATATTTAATTAATATATATTTCAATTATAAATAAATGTTTGTAATTTATATTTTATATAATTTATATAAAATAATTTATAGATAGATAGATAGATAGATAGATAGATAGATAGATACATTTTACTGCTTTCTCGAAGGATTACACTCCTTTTACAATTATATCCTTAACCTATCTTAACACTACCTTCCTCCCTTCCCCCTCCACCCATCCCAAACCTCCGCTTCTATCTCCCTCAATCCCAACCTTGTCCTTCCTTCCCCTCTCTTATACTCCCAATCCTCTTCATCCACTCCTCCCCTATTTCATTCTCGTCCAAAATCTCCTTTATTTTCTCTTCCACTCCTTTCCCGTCCTCCTCACCTATCGTTATGATGCAGCCTTCCAACACATGCTCCCACGTCTCTCTCTCCCATCCACACACCCTGCATCGTCCTCTCCTCCTCCTCCCAGTATCTCCCTTCCCTCATCTCATTTCCCAATCTGAACCTCGCCACTTTTCTTTTCCTCTCTTCACTCACTTGCCCTCCCAATATTTTGGTAACCCTTATAAAATAATTTATATAAATATATTAATTAAATATATATATATATATATATATATATATATTTTTTTTTGTTGTTGTTGAAAATATTATATCTAATTTATGCTGACATGTTATGCATTAACATGGATAACAAATAACGTTAGAATGATAAATGTAAACCATACCATAATTCTATTAAATATAACAAATTGATAATAATTAGCAAAATCTTGTTTCTATATCAGATAAGGAGGTAAAATCATTTTAATCTATGTACGTAAATCAGTATTATTTTCCAGTAAATTTGTTGCCAGAGGATTTAGATGTTAGTCTAAACGAAATCTGTAACATTTCACTGAAATTTGTATTTTTTTATAATCCTTGGTGAATCTTTCAATGACTTTCAGTCTTCAGTGAGACTTTCAGTGACTCACGAATTGTATTTGCATAATTACCATGAAATATTTTATTATATTATAATAAGTATTAATGATATATTATTAACATTGAATGGAAATATGACTCTTTAGATTATATAGGTAAGGTTTCGACCAAAATTGAAATATATTATATATACAATAGTTATGATTTATTTCTTACAAATATAAAAATTACTGAAGCTACAAAAATATTCGAATAGATATATATATAATAACTTTTAAAGTGTATTTCATATTTAGTATGACAACTTTTGGAACGAATAACAACCCTTGTAAACGAATATGCAAACTCTTTACTAATTTTTCTATAACACTTGGTGATATGGAACTTCATACTTTGAGTATTTAAAAAAAAATCATAACAATTGCTAATATATATTAGGTGGTTCGGAAAGTCGTTTCATTTTTTGCTGACGCAATAATGGCATTAGTTGATGCAAACCGACAAATAGTAACACATGAGATCGATGAGAGGTCAAATTTATCAAATTCAACTATTTATGACCACTTGAAAGGTTTAGGTTTAACTTCGAAACAAAAATTATCTTCATTTTTACAAGAGAAAAATGAAACGACTTTCTGAACCACCTAATACATATAGTTTTATTTCTTTTTCTTGAAAATTAAAAGGTTAGCGCGTATTAGTCAATTTAAAAATATAAATTAATTATTTCAAGTTTAGCAATATTATTTTTATTAATTTATCAATATGTAATATGATTATATAATTTAACTAAAGTAATATATATTTAACGACTGTAAATGGACTCATACCATGTTCATAATTATATAGATACATACATAGATGTGTCTATAGATGATTACATAGATGTATATATTATATTATATAATTACATAAAATTATATATAATATATAATATATAAACATATGATTTTACTCTTTTTATTTTATTATTTATATCTTGAAGTTTTATCTGTATAATCTAGGGAGTCATACTACAATCCAATATTAATAATATATCGATAAATTTTATATAATATAAACTTATTATATATAATTAATAAAATATTTCATAGCAAATGTTCAACTATTATAGTAAGTTTATACTACTGTATATAACTTTTTCTTTCTCTAACCCTTTTTTCTATTTCGTTACCTTTCTATCTTAATTTAATCAACTCACGATGACATTATCACTCTGAAAAAATAAAGGATCTTTCGAATGCTCGTTCTAATTGATATTTAAAAGTGTTGAGAATACATTTTTTTCCAAACGAATAAATATCCTCGTTCATTATCATTCGAAGATAAGAGTACGAATATGTCATTGATTCGATGCGATACAATTCATTCGAATTGGACGTGATTGTTAATCGATGCGTTAAATTGTTTTGTACGAAATGAGAGAGAAAAAAAGAGAGAAAGAGAGAGAGAGAGAGAGAAGGAAAGAAAGAAAAAAGAAACAATGACACCTAATTAAAAGAATAATTTCCCAATAGAATTATTAATTAAGGTTATATCTTAACAATTTTTTTTTTCAGACGGGTTTACTCTCGAAGCCGATGGCCGCGGTAGCGACGGGTTACGAGGATAACAATTAATAAAGAAAATGGATTAAATTATTTATTTATTTTTTTTTTTTTAAAGGGTTCTTTTGCGATAATAACACACGTCACTTTACTATATTTCTCATACATATAAAAATCAAATAAGAAAAAATTGTGTCGTACATATTATATTTAAGATAAGAACATAATGTGAAACATCTTCTTCTTCTTCTTAAATTTGATCAAACTCTATTGATTATTATTATTTTCATTTTTTTTTTCGTTAGTAGTAGTAACATTGATGTTCTCTCTTTGACCAAAAATAAGACATTTGAATAACAATAACATTAACAAAAACAATAACAATCACTTGAAAACTTGATCAAGATCATTTTATTTATTTGTGTATATTTTTTTTTAATTGTTAAACTAAGCAAAATATAATTAATGTGGAGTATATTGAATTGTGACAGATGTAACGCGGTATTTTAAATTATCTATTTTGATTAATCGACGATTATAAGACTATGAATTATGTTAGATAAGAGAAAGATTATTGTCGTTACTACGTAGAAACTATTTACATTGTGTTGTATACTTTATATATATAGATATACATAATCGTTGCAATATGTGCTGCTTGTTTTAATCTATTTAAAAAAAAAATGAAGGCTTATAAAGAAAATTGAAATAATGAATACTGGCATCTGGCCTAAACGTTTAAAAAAACAATTATAATATATTTCTTTTCGCAATCTCTAACTTTTCCCATTCTCGATTGAGAATTAGATAAAAAAAGTAAAAAAATCTAAATAAATGTTCTATCACAAATTTATCCTATTATGATATTTTCATTCAATCTGTAATATTTCGAAGAACGTTCATTAAAAGAAAAAAAATGAATTGAAATTGACGATGAAAAAAATAAAATTAAAAAAAAAACAAATCTAAAATGTATGTTATGTGCCAAAAAAAAAAAAAAATAAGAAAAATGTATCAAAAATAGAAGAATGATTAAAAAAGGTGTTATCAGTGTTTGAATTAATTTTTAAAAACAGCAGTAACATGTTGGTATAATTATTATTTTAAGTTTATTTTTTCCTAATTGTAAGACATAGCAACCAACGTCCTTCCAAAAATTATATACGACGTTTCAGTAGTGATATATTCGGAAAAAAAATTAAAAAAAATTTAAAAAAAAAACGTAATTTTATCGTCAAACATTCAAAATTCTATTATGATAATAAAGAAGTTGAAAAAAACGAAGGTAAAAAGAAATAAAATTGTTCAGACTGTTTTCTTTTTTAAATATCCTTGATTTGAAATTATTTCAAGATATAAATAAAATATTAATTAATTAAATTGAGTTTACTACAACGAATATCGTTCGTTCAATCTTGTTTTTTACTTATTTTAAAAAAAAAAACTGTATATTAAAAAGTCATTTGTGAAGTAAATACATATAAGACGACGACGAATATATAAATGAAATTATTTGTCTCGATTCCCTAAGAGGGGAGAGGAGTGAAGGGGGAGGGTAGAGGGGAAAATTTTTTTCTTTTATTTAAAACGTGCAGATCTTACGGAAGAGCAAATCCGTTTAATTGAATTGACCACTTCTCTCTCCTCCTGCGAAAGTTCCCCAATATTCTTAAATTCTGGACGAGCGAGGATTTGGTTACGAGCTCGTTCCAAGCTCACGGATAATGGCATTGTCAATACCTTTTTCCAATTCGTTGACTCGTAATTAGTTAAAAACTGTAAGTAACAAAGATTTACTTTGGCACAGTAAGAAATAATGTCACAAGGAAGAAATACTTTCGTTTAGTCTTATTTTAATTTCAATGAATAAATTTCAGCTTCGAGCACAAAAAGTTAAATATAATAATACCAAAAAAAAAAGAAATCTCTCGTTTTTGGCACCATAAGAAATACTACAATGAAACTTTCGTTTAGTCTTATTTTAATTTCTATGAATAAATTTCAGCTTCGAACGAAAAAATTAAATATAATAATAACAAAAAAAAAAGAAATCTCTCGTTCTTTTATTAAACGCGGAATATGCGTGGTGTGTAAGTTTCGAAAAAGAAATTTATTGATTGAAAAAGTTTTTAATTTACCACAATAAAAAATTCTAACTTTGAATTTATAATATACTATAAAGATAATTTAAATGTATAAATAATGTGTGAGATTTATATTATTTAAAGAAAACAAAACAAAAAAGAAGAAAAAAGCACAAAAAAAAGGGAAATCTCTTCAACCATGTCTATGCGAGATTTATTTATAATATTATTAAGAATATTTGTATATTGACTATAATCTTTTAAATCGATATCAGTATATGACGTATTAAAATATAATAACGTGCACCCCTCTGATGATTATAATTCTTGTCCTCTCATGCAACTAATCAGTATATCATCATCATCATCTCGCCTTTTACTATTCGCACGAATGATCTCTACCTACTTGATCAAAATCTGTATCTTCGATGTGGAACATGATATGGGTTAACGGTTTTGCCTTCAATGGAATTTCGGAGAAATCGATTAAATCCGGTTGTGCGTAACAACTCCCTCCGTTTCTCAGCCTGTTCAGCACCCAATCGGAAGCACATAATAGATACTCGTGTGTTATCTGTATGATAAACAAGAAAAACATAAAAAAAATTCTACTATATTACTGTATAAAGGAAATTGATATAAAGGGTGAGTAGGGGGTGGTAAATAATATTACTGGAACTTAAACTAACTTTTAATGATTGTCTTCCTGTTTTGGTGAGCAACAATTCGTCAGTGTAAGTTTCTACGATGCGTGTCATATTTTTCAATTTGTCGCATCTTGGATTTTGATCCACTGCTTTAACGCTGTACATTCAATTATTATTATTATTATTATTGTTATTTGATAATATTAGGGTGAATCCAAAGTTTTATTGCGTCTATTGTTTTGAAACTTTACTTTGAAACTGCATAACGGGGATTGTATTTTTTTGTAAAATTTATTTTGGAAATATTAATTTAACCCCTTCGGTCTCTATGCACATTGTAATTTACATAATACTTTATGTATATTTATTATACAAATATTTCTCAGGATCTCCTCAATGTTACAAATTTTGCGTCCATCAAAATGTACATTTACAAATTATAAATAAATAAATAAAAAGTATATTGTTACTTTCATTCATATGAATGTCAATTTTAGTATAAAAATAATTTCTTCTTAAACGAAAAAAAATTTAGGTCTGAAGGGGTTAAAAAAGAAAACAAAAGAATGCAGGAACTTTTAATTCACCCTAATTTAATAATTGTAAACTTATTTCATTTATATTTACCTATCTTCGATGGTTTGCGAAAAATGATCTATTTGGGCCGTGTGTTTGTTATCCTCGTCTATGCTACATATTGCTTCAGCCAATGCATTTGATGCAGCAATTTTATCGTGGGGATTAAATGAGCCTGACTCCAAATTGACGTCCATCGAAATTGTACTACTTTGTAGTACGCCCGTTTGATTATTAGCTGCTATTTCGAGAAACGTGGAATAAAGGGCAGCGGAAAATATTTGTAAAAGTACGGAATTACCCAATGGATGACAACGAGCTGGTACATTGTTGTTAAGTGCTAGTGCTGTTCGCAAAATTGATATTGGTGTGGTCACGTGTAATTCGGTAAAACAAGCTAATGCTAAGGACATAGCTTGATACATGCTTGCTCCTGTCTGTTTAAAAGTAATACATATTATAGTCTCCTATTTATTAAGATATTAATAATATTAGGTTGGGGAAAAAGTTATCCATTATTTTTACGTTAACTTCAAACCTTTATTTAACATACTTCTGGTTGTCTGATTTTGATCAAATATGCACAGTTTTGTTCGTTAATTTATTAACGTTTTAAAGGTAGCTTCATAATGCCTGTCTCATAAAAGTCTTGGTCTCTATTTGCGAAAAACTCTTGTGATCGATTTTTACAATCTCCTTTTAATGTCAATTTCTTATCAATAAGAAAGTTTTGCAGTGCAAYAAAAAGATGATAATCGCTTAGTGTAAGGTCTGGTCTATATGATGGATGCATCMAAATTTCYAAACCAACCTCCTGGAGGTTCTGGGAAGTCACTATAGTCATGTGTGACCTGACGTTGTTCTGATCAAACACAACACCTCTCCTTTTGGCCAATTCTGGCCGTTTCTGGTCAATCGCTTGCTTTAAATGATCCAGTTGTTGGCAGTAAAGATCCGAATTTAGTGTTTGGCCATATTTAAGCAACTCATAATAAATGATTYCTTTCCAGTCCCACCAAATGCACAGTAGAACCTTCCTGGCCGTTAGTCCTGGTTTGGCTACCGTTTGAGCTGCTTCATCGCGCTTTGACCACGATCGTTTTCGCACAATATTGTCGTATGTGACCCATTTCTCATCCCCAGTCACCATCCGTTTAAGAAATGGGTCGATTTCATTCCGTTTGGCCAAGGCTTCGCAGATGGAAATTCGATGCATCATGTTTTTTGGTGTTAATTGGTATGACACTCAAACAYCGAGCTTCTTTTTGAATCCAGCTTTGCACAAATGGTTTAAAACTGTTTTATGGTCGATCTTTAGCTCCTGGGCGATGCTACAACTACTAAGAAGCTGGTCAACTTCGATTATTTCTGTGATTTTATCGACATTTTCGACGATA